CCCCCCCCTGAAAATTAATAAGTGGGCATGCGCTAATTCGATACCTTAGAGTGTTGTATGCACATTTGTTTCAATTAATTCATTGTTATTCTGTGTTTGAAGTTGTCAGTGGCTGGCGGGAAGGGACGTTACTGCTCTCACTGGTCTTGTAGGATAGATAAACAAAGAATGAACTTTGTGAGACAGCTGAAGTAATTAGTATTTTTTTTTAGCATAAGAGAGCCTGTTGCAAAAAGAAAAGGCCAGGGAACTTTCTGGGGCTCAACGTTTATGGGCTACTGGCTTTTAGCTGCAGGATATAGGTATTTTTCCCCTGTTCATATTATTCTGGAAGCCAGCCATTTCTAGAAGTCTTGCAAAAAAGGCTTTTCAGATGGAATGTGCTTGCCACCACTGTACAAAGGGGCATATCTACATTTCACATTCATTCAACCCCCTATAATCTTCGAGGCCCCCTAACCACTTAATAGATGTTTGCTAGATTTAAAGAACACATGGTAAAAGTAATCAATTCCATAAAACCATGAGCCTTTGTTTTATACGTTCAGCCCTGTATATGAGATAAACAGACTCAAACATATGTTTCTCATATATTGGATATCCTCATACAAATAAAAATTAAAACATTGACAAATTTAAAAAGCAACAGAGTAAAAAGTATAGTTTCACGTATTTTGTGTACTGTTAATGACAAATAGATACAATTGATTCCGCCTTTTCAGATCACTAATATCCGTTGTTCCCTCAAATTAACTCTTGTCCTGCGTCTGTGCTGAGATGCGAATCTTATCAGCAACCGATTACGTCGGATGTTCCAGGCAGGCCGCTGGGGCCACTCAGTGTGTACTGTTGGTGTACAGCGCGGGAAACGTATGTTTTTGCCACGAATACCGTGGGTGTGTTAATCGATGATGAAAATAACGCTCTATCTTTCATAGCTTTCTAATCATAAAGTGTTACAAACACATGAATAACCCCCTCTCAAAAGCTGATGAGACATTATGAGTAGTTACGCCCATTCGAATAACCTTTCTAGACGCTCATGTTGTTATGAATGACGTGGGGTTCGATAGATCAATTTCGGAATGTTTTGCACTCAAAATGTACTTTGTACCTCCACAATGGTATTCAAAATTATCAAATAAGCTTATTTTTTATCAGGTAGTATCATTAACATTCATACAAAATCAAGCTCATTTGAAAGATTTTGTATAGAAAAATGGAAGTTTTGTTTCCTGACTATCCATTTGGGCTCCTCATGTCTAAGTGGGTCAATTTGTTCTATAATTTCATTGGATGAACATCTAGAGCTACCAACTTGGCATTTTTTAAATGAGACATATGCTTCGGTTACGAACCAACGCAAGCGGTTCTAGAAGATGGCCACAAACGCACACAAACTCAAGCAGACTGATGCACACACACTTGAATTGAGTGAATGCGGATCCGACGCGGGACCCGAATTGAAGGAGAGATGATGCTTGGCGCGCGTGCGCACAGCCAGGGGCTAAATTGGCGCAAGACCAGAACGCAGGCGAGGTGCCGAAATAGGCTTATCGGGCGACATAAACCCGGCCCCCGCAGGAAGACTGTTAAAATATTAGCATGAAGTAAAAGATCTATGCTTCTGATAAGTACAAAGAAAGATACAGAAGGTTATTTTTACCAACATCCATTCAACTCCTACCATCATAATCATCTTGAAATATAAGAATTTCTATGATCTTTAAAGTGTGCACAGTCAGAATATTATTGAGTCACCATCCGACTACCTATTATGGTTCTTGTTTTAACATTATTATTGTTAGCAATAATTATTAATTTATATCATATGCATGCGACTGTGGGTCTGTTTATCACAATGCAAACATATATTATGTGTGTGCATGTACAGATGTGTGTAGAAGAGAGGATGTGTGTGAGAGTATGGGTATATGGGTGAGCGTGTGCATCTGTGTGTGTGTGTATGTGTGTGTGTGTGTGTTTGTGAGTGTGTGTATGTGTGTGTGAGTGTGGTGGAACACCACTCCACCAATGTGCAAGTATCTGGACAATAAAGAATAATCTCATCTTATATGCCAAATATCAGGTATACAAAGCTACCAACCTGGTACATTTGCCACCTTCATCTCATTATACAAGGTGAGTGCTCCCTCTTTGTCAAAATTCTGTAACAGTAAACATTGCATACACATTGATGAATACATGGAATGTGAAAAAAAAAAATGGCATCACAAGTGATGGCTCAACAAAAATGTGCACATGACCTAAAAGTTTATTATGTCAATACTGCAGGAATAAAGCAATGAAGCCACAGATTCGACAATAATCACATACACAATCAAACAGGTCACTGATAGAACAGGATTCAAACCTAAATGTATTCTACCTGATACCAAACAGAAAATGAGGATGAAGGCCTACAAAAACAGCAAAGAAATTAATTACTTACAGCTGCCATCCCTCGCAAGAGAAGACAATAAGCTGTGGGAGTTTTTTCAGGCAATGAGTTGTACACTTGTTCAGCCAGATTTCCTTTCCTGACAATGGACACAAACAGAAGAAGTAATACTGAGACATTAATAATTTAGACCTGCATGTGAGCCTCAACCAGATTGTCTGAAAATTTTGCGCACCTCCCTTCCCCCTTTGTGGGTGTCATAAAAGGAAGGACTTCCGGGTAACTTATTTTTTAAAAAATTTATTAGAGGGTTTTACGGCGCTCGCAATGCATAAGGTCATATGAGCGCCAAGGAGTGGGTGTCAACAGAGAAGTCCTTACAGGGAATCAGACTTACTCTGCTCACCTCTCTAGCTTCAACAGCACAAGGTCTGCTTTGACTATCAAGGCACCCCGGAAATAGCAGGTCACAAGAGTGTGACAAACATACAAAAGAAGTAAAGGAAAATGACAATAGTAAGGATTAGGAAAGAAAAAGCAGCAGTTCTCTGTTGCAGATCAGGCACAGTTATGAGCGTGACATGATGAATCAGCCTATTTACAATTCTACTGTGCTTGAACGAGAAATGTCCCCCCTTTGGGAATGGCCTAAAGACACTACAGTCAGTGGCACTGCCCCGAGGGGTGTTCCGTGTAACGAGCGACCACCCCAACAAACACAATAAAGAAGAGACCTAACCCTAACCCAAACCCTACCCCAAAAAAAGAACCCGCAATGGCCCTCATGATGTAAAAAAGCCAGCACAAGTCCAAAATGAAAAAAAAACAAACCACACCCCAAAACAAACAAGGAGGCTGGCCTACATTGCTATAGATCTAGATCTAATTAATAGGCTTAAGGTTTGATACAATAACACAATAAAAAAGGAATATAAAAATGAATCCTCCATATAGTAATCTAAATTAAATCTACATCTAGATCTAGATCTAGTAGTAGTAGAACAAGTGAATAGGAATAGGCCTTGAACAAGAAATCTGCATCCGATTCCGAACAGAGGGACTCAGCTGAGTCTAATTAATAATTTAATAATAACTTACGGCACACACCTGATGAAATGCTCTTTTACCACCATTAATATTACAGAACAAACTATAATAGGGTTTGACACAATAGAATTGGAATATGAATCCTCCATTGAGGTCTATAATGATCTATATAAATCTAGATCTAGATCTAGTAGAACAAGTGAGTAGGACTTGAATGAATCCAAATCCGAACAATCAGTCAACTAACGAAATTTAAAATGGCCACTCGAGCACGAAACTGAAAGTAGGCGCTAGATAATTTAGGTCGTCGTCCTTTTTCATATTCGTATTTCTACTCAGGTTCCGACAATTATGTAGGAAACGCCGACGTCGGCACAAAAACGAAAGTGCCGACACTAGCATCGGCCGGGCTTGCGGGTCGGGTCGTGATTGTCGGATTTCAGACGATTCTCAGCAAACATGCAGGTCTAATAATTCGATATTCAAGTGATATATATCAAAACATCATTTTTCTGTACAAAATGGCTACAGCAAAAGACAGTTACAGAGCAGTATCTGACTACTATCCCACACAAAGTAGTGTTGTGTAGCACCGACAAAATTGAGTACCAGTACTTTGCCAGCACTGGGCTGAATATCGCTTGTAATGCTACCAGTTCTGGTAATAGATGACATCAGAGGCAGGGCATAATTGGCTTCCTGATTCTCTTTTTCATCAGTGTCCAGTTCAGTTCCAAGGGCATATCACCCAAAGAACTAAACTTGTTGTCAGCACCTTCCAAAAGCCTGTAAAATATACATGAAACTGGTACCTTCCCAGTACCGGTACCTTAGGCCTTGTGCTGGTAAGAGACCACATTTGGTGGTACTGGGAGTACAAGTTCTGGTACTGATATGTGCCCAGCCCTAACACAAAGTGACATAAAGCATGACAAATAAAAAAGATAGTGGGCCTACTAGTCATTGCACAATTACATAATTAAGAACTTTCTATACATGAGCGTATAATTTACAGAAATGTACAATTTGAGAACATCATTGGAGCAGATGGATATTGCAATGAAAAACCCAAGAGTCTTTTTAAATGGCAAATAATACAATACAGATATCAGCTGGGCTTAGAATAATATACAAAGAATAATAATCGACAAACTGTGAAAGAAAACTTACTCCCAAGTACACGCAGGGAAAGGGGAAGACAAAGCAAAGCTGGGATTGATGAAATTGCTGAGGGCGCTTGAACGATCAGGTTCCTTACTGTTAAAAACCGTGAGCAATTCCAGAAGCTGTTCCTGACTTTCTTGGCTGAGAGGATAATCTGTTCACCAAGAAAAAAAAATTACAGACCATTAATGTTTACCTAAGCAGAAATAACTATTTGAGAATTACTTAAACATATAAGCATAGCTGCCACCCAGGAATTTCAAAAAAGGAGGAAATTCACGCGAAGGCGTACGCGGACTCTACGAAAGCCAGAGTAAAACCAGTGAGATCTAGAGGCAATAATATATTGGAACATCTAGCCTCTATGTTTATGGAAGGGAAAAGTGCCATACTTGTTAGGAAGTACCTATTTGCAACGCTGCGTTGCGATTAGCGCCAGTGCTAAATAAAACGCCATGTGCTAGCCTAGGCTATATGAAGCTTAAACTACCTTTCGTTGTTGGAAGTTCTGAAGGCCAAAGTAACAGCGCGTCAGCATTTGAAGCCAAACCATTACTTTATAAGTGTGGGTTCGATCCCGGTCCCGGAAGTTTTTTTTTGGTCCTCTTCTTGCCTGACTAACAAATTTTTCCCTTAAAGATAATATTTTACAGTAGATCTAGAATCTATTGTATGACGACACTGTGGACAGGAAATACTGCTTATACCGAGTTGCACCGTCTTGTTATTATTATTCAAGCGTCTTTCGACTTACTTGCTCAAACTCAAAACTCAAACGATTATGATTATGAGAGATGAACAAGACTACTTCTAGTCTACTTTTGTGTAAACAATGTCAGAAGCAATTGTTAGATCTAATCTGTCCCCGTCCCTTTATGCAAGAAAAATTATGAAATTATGCAAACTGAGCCCCAAAAACGTGAAATTATGCGATTCTGTTAATTTTAACAAAGAATGATAAACGAAAATAATCAGAATTTCAAGTAAAAAATTATCAAATTTTGCTAAATTATGCGGGGTGCATAAAACCACGCGGACAGTCTAATCTAGATCTACCCAATATTGATCGGAATAAGACAACGTCATAAAAAAGGAGTCAAACCCTAGGAGGTTTATCTAGAAACTGAGAAAACTTCCACAATTCAGGCAGAACGACAATATTATCATGTATGTAGAAACGATGGCTATACTAGATTCTAGATCTATTCATGGGAGCTATTCAGAACGCTGCGTTGCATAGGCTACTGAATTAAAATGTATTTGAAAAAAAAACAACAACAACCAAGACACAAAGTTGACTAACAAGCATTTGACCCAGTTTGGTGACTAAAAATCCAGTGTTTGTTGCCAGCTGGTGTCTCATAAAAAAAATTTCTTTCACTTTAAACTTGTGCATCCATGTTACGAAGTAGAGCAGTATTGGGTCAAGGGGGCAACACTTTTTGCCATTGTACTGAGCAATTTCTTTATTGCACCAAACGCAAAAAAAAAAAAAAGGAGAGCGGTCCAGTAGAGGAAGTAGGAAAGTAGCGGAAAAGTGGCAGCTATGTATAAGTCGACATTCATTTGAAATACTACTGAACAATTGTCTCTCCTGGGGGGGGGGGGGGGGGGGGGTGTAATATGCTTGATTTAACAGATAATCATAGCAGCAAAGGTGGCTGTCATGAGCAGGTTCCTTTACACAGGTGTTTGATGAAATTTCACATCATTGGTTGTGTCGGACAAGTGCCCATCAAGTAGAGAGGCATAGTATTAAATACACAAACAAAAAAACCCAAAACAAAACAAAAAAAACCCAAACAAGAGAACCAACCCCCCCCCCCCCCTCCATATGGGCACCAAAGGAAAATAACTGCCTGTTCAAGTCTGAGGTGCAAACTGGCTTCGAAAAATCATCCAGAATTTTTTTTTTTACCCTATGGAAATGCCAATACGAGGACTTAAAATTTATGGATTATATTGTCTTATACATCTTGTATCAAGACTGCTTTAATATAAAGTCAGTAACTTCTCATCAATTGGCGTTAAGTCGGGCAAAACCTGGACAATTTCAGGAATCCACATTTCCGGATTTATCCAGAAATTCGGCACCTCTCATTGGTGAAAATATCACCTAAGTGATAATATGGACCGCTTCAACTGCAATATGAAGAGCAAATTCCCTGTCAGTTCTTGCCACTGCTCATTGCCCCTATACCTGCACGCTTTTCCAAGCAACTGCCCATAGAAATATCCCTACACGACAATTAATGTTAAAGCAACTAGCACTCACCACTAGCCTTGCATGACTTGTACACTTCGATTGCATCCTTCACTTGTCTCTTTTGTATACGTTCAATCAGGGCTGCTTCACTGGCCTCTTGATATTTATAACCCTCAAATGGGCTGTTCAGAGTCTGCAGGGAACAATAGTGTTTTCACAACAGTAAAACAAATATGGCCTCTCAGACGTAAGCTTTAGACTTTGTCTTATTCTGTTTAAAATATTTTAATCTGAGAATACATCTAGTACTTAAAGATACAGAATGAAGCACATCTTCATGTAGACAGTTCTTTTTTTTTTTTTTACCTCTAAGTACCAAAGAACCCCAACAGCAGGTGTGACACAAATTAGTTACAAATATTATCAACCAGCTATTCAGATGTAAAAAGCTCAACATTAAAAAAAAAAAATTTTTCATTACAGTTTCTTAATCTGTGGTATAGGTTGCAAGTGTTTGAGAAATATTTTGTTGAAATTCAAATTCTGAAAGCTGAAAAAAGCAAGGAGAGATGCATAATGTTGGTGCTATTGTTAAAGAAATGAAACTGTTTTTTTCTCTCTCCTGAAACATTTGGCTTTCTCAGCTTAGAACAACTGAACAGCTTCCCAACAATGGCTAATCAACCCAACAATATACAAGTGCACTGTTAACTATTATATTTCTGAGAAGGCATATATCAAAGCGGAGTCTTTCTTTCCCAGAAAACTTACAACCACACTGCCTTTACTTCCCCAACTTGAAGTCAGGTACCCATAACTACTGGGAGGGCAGGAGGGGGCGAAAAAAACCTGTGTCCAAACTGAGGCTTGAACCCGGATAACTTACTAACTCCTCAAATATACTTTGAAAAGAGGATCTTCAAACACCTGCATGATGCTTGTACAGATCTTCCCCTTGCCTGTGCAGTAAATACCCTTTTTTATTATATATAAGCATTAATTAAAATACAAACAAAAACTGTGAGGTACTGTGTAGAAAGATCATATGTAAGTGTTAAATACTGTACATACTGGCATATCTTGCCTGCATGTAAAACTTTATCATTGCTAGCTTTTTGAAAATAAAAGCTAACAAGTTTAGATATAGCTAAATATGCTGAACATCGAATAAGAGCATAAATAAAACAATAATAAAAGGGAAACAAGACAGAATCATACATAATTGATCGCTTTTAAAGACAAGCCGGCTAACCCAGATTTCAGGGGTTTCCAAAAATCTTGACCAACACCAAAAGTGGACATTGAACTACCTATAGGAAAAGTTTGCTTTTATTGGTGTGTATATTTGTTTGGTTATAGAGAAAACTCTCCATGTCTTTTAAAGAAACTGAGAAAGGATCCAAAAACTTTACCTTCGATTTTCTCAAAACAGCATTTTTCAGGATAGCCTCTTTGTGCTTAAAAGCTGCCAATTAAAAGATGATTCAAATCTACATTGGGTAGAATATGAAATACTATGAGAATATGAAATGGGTGTCCTTGCCCCTGGTCTATATTTTTTAACTCATCACCTCATGTAAAACAGAATTAACAGCTAACCTCTGGAAGGGGTTCTTCCCATATCTGTGTAAAGTAGTCTGGGTACAGGGCCAGCATTGTTTGGGCAGCCTTGCGCCCACTGTCTTTAGCAGCCATGTGATTTTTCTACAACCAAGACAAAGAAGAGAAACAATGATTAAACAATAATGTCATACAAAAATCTACTGATGTTGAGTTATTCTCATGAAACTTCCAACGCACAAATTCTTTCGACTGACGGCAATAATACACCTACACATTTTCAGTCTGACTAATGACTTTGGTATGGTGAATGTAATGCTTTCTCCACAAGCTTACTAGATACATTTATAAATTAAATAACTGAACAAGCTTTGTTTGATGATTTGTTGGCTTGAATTGAGTAGTAGAATAGAGTTACATTTTCCAAGAGTCATCATTCTTATAATAAAGGGTATGCATTCATTCCAGTCCACAAAGATTTTCATTACAATGATAAAGAACATTAGTTTTTACCTTCAATCTGTCTGCAGTGGACAGGAGATGAGGGTCATCAATATCCATATACATTGGTTGATTGGCATCCTTGCAAAGAGAGAAAAAGATTTCGTGAAAAAATAATAAAAACATGTTAAAAAAAGAAAACGGCACTGAGGTAAAACAATAAACGTTCATACAATAGCTTTTTACAGTTAGACCAAGAACTCATGGCTCATTATCACACATAACTTGAATAAATCCTCTTTATTGAAATCGAAAACAAGGCAGCATAAAGAACAATCACTTAAGAAAAACAATACAAACTTACAGCTCTCACTGTTGATGCAAGAGCCTCAAGGATAGCTGTTGAACTCCTGAAAAGACAAGGATAAATAAAATAAAACTAACCATTCAAGGAAACTATTAAAAAAACCCAACCAAACTATCATGGCAGCCACATCAGGCAAAACATAAATCTCAACTTCAGCTTCAGAAAACGACAGATTCAAGAAAAGAAATAACCCCTGCAAAAAGGCTCTACAGAGAATAAAAGACAGGCATAACTCTTGAACTCTTTATTCCTTTTGAGACGGAGCATTTGATTTGTGCCAGTCAGCTATTTATTTGTGATATCTTATACAGCTAACATTCCCATCACTACAATTTGCCAAAGTGCGGTACGACCATTGACAAATAAAAACATGAACTATATGACACACAATATAAGGAAAGTATTGTTACTTCATCATTAGTAACAGCCTCAAAATTCAAAACTAAAGAAACAAATACTTTGTATCCTACTTTCCACTTTCCTTAAAAACTACTGTATGCAAATAATTTAACCTAAAATAGATCGGCATTTATAAAGCAATAGATTGAAGCTACTGACAAAAAAGTTTTAAGTTTCAAATTAGTCAGAAATGTTGAAATATTATCTTAGAAAACTTTAAATTTAAAACCATAGGCTTTTGAAAATGCAGCCTTTTAACATAATATTATACTAATTTTCATTCTGTAAAGGAACAATCATATCTTCTTAACAGAATGTGAAAAGAAAAAAAAAAGGGAAAATAAAATGTCAACTTTTAAACAAAATACCTTTCAATTTTTCTTGGTATGACGATTGATTTTGCACCACCTAGGGGAGGAAACATTCCAAAAGGGTCAAAACACTAAAAAAAATAGCAGATCTTGGAAAGTCATACAGAAATTCCAATCATCTATTTCAAAATGAATGTAAGAATGAATATAATCAGTTAAAGCTAGAAACCCACTTAAAACATCTAAATATGACTGGGTATTCAAGTAAATCAAGGTACATTTTAAGCAATGGTCAATGCAAGCTACAATCAAATCTGCTATAAAGTAAATCTGTCCAAAACAGAGTCTTCCTGCTCCCCCATGATAAATCCTCTACAATACGTCTAAGACAGGAACCATTACAATCTGGAAACAGACAGAGAAATTTCTTTCCTTTGAAGAGTTTTAACCAGTCAAAGTGGGAAAATGCTTTGCCTGCTTAACCCTTATTTGAAACATAACTCCCAAGTTTGGTTCCACCTGCTCTTTTACATCACACTGCAAGCTGAGGTAGGGAGGAAGTGGTGTGGCTTGGGGGAAGCTCTTACCCCATCCATGTGACTCTTGAGTGGTGCAAATAGTTAGGGTGGTGTGGGTGTGAAATCTCACAGCTGCATGTCTTCAAAGTAAAATTAACATACGTATAGATTTATGCCATGGGCTCCTACTATATGGTCGCTTTTAAGGACAAGTAGGCTAACCCAGATTTCGAGGGTTTCCAGAAATCTTGACCTACACCAAAAGTGGGCATTGCCCTACCTGTAGGAGAAATTTGGTTTCATTGGTGTGTATATTTGTTTGATTATAGAGAAAACTCTCCTTGTCTTTTAAAGAAACTGAACATGGGGCAAAAACTTTACCTTCGACTTTCTCAAAACAGCATTTTTCGAGATAGCCCCCTTGTGCTTAAAATCGACCATATATTTTCTAGAAGCCGTGTAAACAGAATCATGTATAGTATTGAACTCACAATAGAACCTTGGGGTACCCCACAAAACAATGGAACTTTGGAAGACTCTGTGCCATTTACACAAATTGACTGAATTCGATCACTCAAACATGATGTAAACCACTCAAGCACGATCCCAGACCAAGAACAGTTTACTTGGAGAACTTGAACATATGATGGTATAGACCCGGATAAAAATTTAATTTTGTTCGAAGCAGAGAAGCAGAGAAATAAGTAGAAAACCATGATCACTGATGTCTTTTTCAGATCGGGCATTTGGTTGGGGGGAGGGGGGGGGGGGCAGGGAGTGTTATAATACACCAAAACAATACCATACACCACTGTGATAGTTTGGGGTGGCATCATCATACTTGCTGTTGAAATTTTAATAAAACAGGGATTATGAAGCTGTAAGATAAATCTTCCCTCAATTCTTACAGCAGTGCTTTGGTTTCAATAAGTATTCCTAATGATTCGGATGTCTGTTCCATCACTGTCTAGCTCTCTCAGAATTCTAATTAATTTGTCATGTCTAACTCCCTGCCCCCCAACCCAATAAAAATAATTTCGAATAAAAATGTACAAAATCCTAGTCCTAGGGCAGCACCCTGTGTCTGTTTTAAGATGACAATGCCAACTGAAACAGAATAAATTGTGAAGAAGTTTTCTGCTTTTCTTTTAATTAAATATGCTTGATACAAAGCAACTGAAAGAAAGAAATGATTGGCACATTCATGACTTACCCTTACTGGGCTGAGGTCTTTGTTCATTTGCCTTTTCTTTAATATTTCTCTGTGCTTTAGCCAGGCAAACAGAGCAGCTGGAAAAGTCCCTGATAAGATGAAATAAATTACATGTCTGATAATTTACTGCCTGTAATGTCACTTTTTCGTTCAGAATAAAGAAACTCATTCCTTTGCATTCACACAAATAGTATCATTCTGTCCACAGTATTGTCATGTCAAGAGAATACAGAAGAACAGTGCTTAAAAAAGAATACTTGTTTTAAAGATCTCAGATACAAACAAGGAGGATATTCCAAACAATACACAATTTACTGTAAAATTATACATTCACACCCACCTGCACACAGATGCACTGATTTTGGAGGTTAAACTGCCATATTTTTGGTCGCAGAATGTGCATGCATATAAATGGCCACTAAAACCTTGCAAATCAATTGTTAAAAAAATAAACCCAAATCTAATGGCAAAACATCAAATTATTGTGAAATACAGGAAGGCATGTCCTCCTGAAACCAGATATTTTTTTGGTCAGGGGTATGCCCCCCTCCCCCCCCAAAGATTTTTAAACACATGAAATATTACTACGCAATTAGTTTTATACAGCTAGAAAAACAAATAAAGAATCTTGGTTGAAGCAAATTGCAGATGACAGCTTATGACGAATATACAAAAGCGACAGGCAAATTTCATAGGGCACACAATGCAGAAAGAAGCATTGGAGAATATTGTAATAACGGGCAAGTTTGATGGAAAGAGAAACAGAGGCAGACAGAGGGAAAAGATGCTGGACAAGTTGACAACATGGCAGGGAGCAGCAAGAACAACAAACACCAGTGCTGCAATGCGAGGCAGAGTAAAGTGGAGGTCCATGATTGCCCATGCCAGTCAAAAAGGCACCGGGTGATGATGATGAGTCTTATATAGTATAAAATTCAAATGAAAATGTCAACTTAAAAACAATTATAACTTTACAATGGGTTTGAAGTCAAAATTCATGTAAGAGTGACAAAAACTACCCTCCCAAAAATGCTTACTATCTCAACATGAGATGGGAGTGCAAGTAAAATAATATGCAATCTAATGATCCATAAAACTAAAAATTAAGTGTATATTCATTCAGTTCAGTTACTGTGAGAGTAAATGGTAAACAGTACAGTGTGCCCTACTTAATGTCAGGCCTGCACCAAAGTGAGCTTTGAAGAGAGTTCTTAACCCTTTGAGCCATTGCCACCGGCACACCGGTGAGCGTGACCTATCTCCAACCTGGCCAGCCTGGGACAAAACGCATACACTGAAAACAGTGTTTACTACACAGGATGCTATTGATTATTTCGAAGATTTTTGCGAATTGGATGCTGGTAATGATGAGGACTACACTGAACAGGATATGGAATGTGATTCTGATGATCTTATGGATGTTGGATGTTAGTAATCAGTGCTTCCAACAGCTGAAGATGAAAAGTATGGAAAATTCTGCAAGGGGTCTGGGGGCCTTCAGGTCCAGGGACAGTGCTCCGGTGGGGGTTCAGGGGGCGAAACCACAGAAGAAATTGAAATTTAGTGGTTTCAGAGGGTTAAAATGGCAGTAAGAACGAAGGAAGGCAATACAGACTCGTTCAAAGTAAGATCTGGAGTACGACAAGGATGCATTCTATCTCCTCTCCTGTTCATAAATATATATGGACACAATAACGCAAGACGCAAACCAAAGCCCAGAAAGCCTAAATGAATTTCTATTCGCAGACGACCAGGACCAGCCTCACCCGACAGCCCGGCCGAGCCAGTAGCTGTGCCTGACAGCCCTGTCAAGCCAGCGGCTATACCTGACAGCCCTGTCGAGCCGGCATCAGAACTCGAAATCCCTGACAGGTCATCAGCCTCACCTACTCACAAACTTCCGGCAGCACTAGCCCGTCTGCTCCCCCACAACAAGCCAGGGATCCTAGAGCAACGTCCCCTGAGACCCCGCTATCACAAGCAGAATGACATTACTAAATACTGAACCATAAATATAACAAGAGACACTATTACTATTAGTGGTTATATTCATACACTGCAACTCTTGTATTTCCCCTTTGCTCCTTACAAGGCAGCGTTGGCACCGGCAGTTGGTAGATCTGATTTCTAACTTCCGCTATATTCAGTTCCCTTAATTTACTTTGATCCATCTCACTCTCATCCTCAAAACATTCTTCACTTCCTCTTGACTTTTAACTTTTCCACCCCATCCTTCTGCATTGATTTGTCCGGTGTCTCATGAACCTTTCAATATTTTTTTTCTTTTTAATATTTCATTTCATTTATTTCACTTTCCATTGATGGATCATCTGAGCCATCAGTTTTAAACGTACCCTATAAAACTTTTCCCCGCGGGAGGGAGATAGATAGATATTAACTCATCTCTCATCCTTCCTCAGATTATCCATCATCCTTTTCCACTCACTCCAACCATACACATCCCATAACATTTGAACTTAGGGGGGAAGGGAACAATACACATCCATTCGCACTGTAATCATCTTTCATACACGCTTGTATCCATGTTTAACTAAGAATAAGTATGTGTTAGGATCAAGGGACCAAAGCGTCACAATAACATCATCCTATGGATGGGACCATGTAGGTCTCTTTGAAGCTAATTGGTTTAATTAATATTAAGATAATTTCAGCCCTATTAGTAATCGGCATTACATCCATTCTCATTGTTCGTACCTCTTAGTTACAGTTCAAATTGTCGTGTTGAATATATTTGTCATGTTGTGGAAAAGGATTTCACTCTTTGAATCTTAATAAAGAGCAAGTTCAATAACATCATTGAAGGAAGTTATTCATTCTTAACCAGTAACCTATTTTGCATTTTTAGATTCTAGATCTAGATCTAGTCACCCAGCAAAAACTAAAATCCTTCATGTAAAATAAGAAAAGAAGAGGATAAATATAAGTACGGCTAGACTGCTTGGCTAGCCGTACTTAACTAGACAGCTGGGCTAGCGTACTTATATGATGGCTAGACTGACCAAAAAAAATAGGCCTACTGAATTATAAATAGAAATTTTTAGTTTGCAGTACCTAAAGTATTTGTATTTGAGGCGAAACCAGGTGTCTTACTGACCCTGCACATACCTGAATAATTACTAATGAGACTTGTTTTCTAATGTTAATAGGCCCTAAGATAAGTACGGCTAGACTGGCAGGCTAAGTTAAGAACGGCTAGACTGCTTGGCTAACCGTACTTAAGTACGTACGGCTAGACGACTAGGCTAGCCATACTTAAAGACGGCTAGACTGTCAGGCTAGCCGTACTTAATAATGATGGTTGAATTGTAAATGAAATTTTTTGTTTGCAATGCCTAAAGTATTTGTATTCAGACAAAACCAAAAGGTGCCTTACTGACTTGCATGTATTTTAAACCTGAATAATTACTAAATCTAGATCTAATGAGACCTGTGTACTCAACAGGTTTGAGTCGATTGGGCCAAACCTAAATCTAGCCGTAAGTACGGCTAGCCACTTCGAAAAAAAAAATCCCTCCCCCCCCCCCCCCCCTTCCGTTCACATCTTACACACACACACACACACCGGCCACTCCATTCGCTTTTTATTATCAACAAATCTCGAGAGCGGAAACCGTTAGGAGAAATAGAGTTCAAGTTTATTTTCCCGAACGTTCGGAGAAATAGAGCCAGCCACAAAAATATGATGGGGGGGGGGGGGCGTTCAGGGGAGCATGAATTTTACAATAATTTGATGTTTTGCTGTTAGGTTGCATCCCTGTTCTCTGTGTTGCCTATTTGGTCATCAAGATTTCTGGATTTTTTCTCTGGATGTAAACAAATGGATCGCTGACTTAAACCAAAGGAACTACAAAAAAGATCACCCCTCTGAGCCCCTCTCACTCTCAAGTCTCTGTCTCTGTGATCTAATCTAGATCTAGAAAAATCTATGTCGACAGTCTAGATCAAGAGTCTAATTGAATTGTTTAGAAGTACGCAGTTTTCATCTAAAATCATATTATAAGGAAGTGGCTATCCTCACCCGGGGTGAGAATAAAAATACGATCGACCTCTCACCCCGGATGAGACTTGCCACCGTTGGCTATTCTCACCCGGTGTGAAACAAGACCTGTTTTTCCTAATTTCGGAATACTTTCTATCGGTGCGGATGATCAAATGGATAAAAACAAAATAAAAATTACGTTATAGCACAAAAGTAAGCTAATTTGATCGTCTACAAAGATGCTATGGCTATTTCACTTTTCGAATCGAGCTTTCCGTGGGTCGCCATTTTGTTTTGCCCAGAAGAAGTTCTTGCAAGATCTACTCCTCCCCTCTTCTCTCTCTCTCTTTCTGAATACTGTCTATCGGTGTGGATGATCAAATTGACCAAAACAAAGCTAAAAAAATGATGTTAAAACACAAAAGTAAATTAATTTGGTCGTCTACAAAGATGCTACGGCTATTTAACTTTTCGAATCGAGCCGAACTACGCGGGTCGCCATTTTGTTTTACCCGGAAGTTCTCGCGCTACTCCTCTCTCTCTTTCTCTCTCCACTGCCCACAGACAAAATTGTACGCTTTTAGGCTAACAGTAGTAATGGAACGTTTGTTCACGGCACAGAATTCTACATTTTTTCTGTTATCACAGTGTAGAATTCTGTTGTTCAGAGTGAACGCAAATTTGGTTGGCATAGACTTAGGCTATAACAGTGAACGAACACCGGGTGAGAATAGCCGAAAGATTCGCCTGAGCTATTCTCACCCCGAATAGAGGTGGCCAGGCCTATTATAATGGCAACTGTTTATTTTCTCGTGTTTAATTCCGGCCGCCTCTAGATCTAGAATCTTTGCATTGGGATTAAGAATATGTAAACCACGGCAATTTCATCATTTGTAGATCTCTAGGTAGATCTAAACCTAAGTCTTGTAGTAGATACTGAGGCTACGTGCCCGGTTACCGTGTACGTAGACCCTGAGGCTACGTGCCCGGTTACCGTGTAAGTAGACACTCCGTTTCAAAATAATAAACGGAAAGCTGTTGTTAATGAAACCAATCATTCATTCACTGTTCAGCCCTACAGGGTAATTGACCTAAATAAACATATAGAGTCAGAGTCTCTATCCGTAACAGAACTCACGAAGGCACGCAGTGCCTTGACCCCTGGGTTATTTTTTCCTTGATTTTGATTGGTTGAACCATTCTAGAGTAAAATTTTCCATTACAGAACTAATAATAGCAGCTAAAGGTGACGCTATTTGCTCCAAAAATAAGGTGTTCCCCTAAATCGACAATTAATAGTCACCTCGCGCGCTTGGGAGCTGGCCCGCCCGTTGGCGATTATTATAGTCGCCTCGCGCGCTCAGCGGAGTGAGAGAGGGAAGGCGAATTTTGTCGCCTGGAGCGCAACGAAGTTAGTACGGCTAGACTGCCAGTCTAGCCGTCATTAAGTACGGCTAGCCTCTTCCTTTTGATATATTTTGTCATTCAATTCAGTCAACAGTCATTGCCTATACAACATATAGATCTAGACAAATCTAAATGATAACATGTAACATACTGTGGCTTTTTTAGTCTTAGTTTAGACCTTCCATACTGATTTTGATGGCCATTGTGCCCTTGATATTCATAGAGTACAGAGTGGTCCCTCGTTGTGGAAGTCTTCCCCGGGAATTAAACGCGAGAAAGTAAACAATTAACATTATTATTACTATCTAGAATCTAGTCAGATCTAGATCTAGATTCTAGATGATCAGATCTAGGGTAAGACTGAAGTTGAAGAATACCAGACCAGCGGTCTGACTTTGCCTATGTCTCAACCTTAGGCTTAGGAATTCATAATTTTCCCGTTTTTAATATCTCTCAATGGAGAATCTCGGACCGGTAGATCTAGATCTA